GATTTCATGGGACCGTTAAAGGGTAGACGTCCTGGCTCGACTCTTCGTTACTACGAACTTGCGCTCGCCCTTAGGTGTTGTGCATCAACATCATCTGCTACACCCCATCCTCAATGACACGGATGTGACGATGACTACCAACCTCAAGGTTGGTATCCTAAACCTTCGCTGTGCGTAATATGATTACTCGTTTTAGGTTGGCCAATCGGTGACGGCGAGGGTACTCGCAATACTGGCAGACCCGTCGTCGCACACAAGGGCGGTGTACTTGACGTTGTTGCCTAACCTCGTACAGTGGAAGGGTATTAAGAGCCAAGTAGAGGCTGGCACGACCATTGAGGTGGGGTTAGTTCTGGAGGGAGTGGTATGAAAATGCTTCTTATTAGGCGGCTAGGGTTATAGATGTGATCCCGAAGGACTGCACGCGGTTCGTTGCAGGAGGGAATCTCATGGTTGCTCATGCTACTCGATGCAGTCTGCCATATAGGCAGCCCGGCGCTGTCGGGAAGAAGACTGATGTCAGGGCTCTGGGGAGTAATCTTCTAGAGATGTCTGTACAGGTCGGTTCCGTACTTCTCTAGGGAGTGCCGGATTGTCTCTGTAGGTCAGCGCGGAGGAGAAGGTCCTGGCAGCCTCTGTAGTGAATCTTCAACAAGTTTCGGCTGGTATGGTATTCGATAAAGCAGTGATTGAGCACTTCGACAACGAGAAGGGCCTCATCGTCAGCCTCAGTGATTTCGTTACTGGAAGGGTTCCGAAGGAGCAATGCACCGACCAGGGTAATCAGAGGAAGCTTCCTAAAAGATATGCGGAGGAGAAGGCGGAGATCCGCGTCAGGGTTCTCAATGTGGACCCTGTGAGGCGACAGGTAGTATTTTTTCGTACCACTCCTTTGGTAACTCGTCTCTGGCTTCCAGGTTACCCTCACAGCTAAGAAGTCCCTTGTCGGTCGACCGGATGAGGAGGCGCCGAGAGCCCTCATCAGAAACGCTGATGCGAGCGTGGGGGATGTTGTAGTCGGGTACGTGAGTAAGATACTTGACCATGGTGGCTGCATAGTGAAGTTCTTTGGTGAGGCATTCGGCTTGCTACCTATTGTCACGGAGGGCTGTGCTCACGAAGGAGCTCTTGTGAAGGTGAGGGTTGTGAGTAAGAACGACTCACCTAAGGGAACTAGGCTGAGGCTACAGCAAGTGAACAGTATGGAAGATTCTACAATGGGAGAGATTACTAAGGTTGGCGATGTCCTGGCAGTTGAGACCATTGAGGGAGCGGACAAGTGCAGTGGTGGTCGACAGTGTGTAAAGATCCGATGTGTGGGAGGTATGGACGTGTTAGTTCCAGTGATGCAGTTGGCAGACGATCCTGATATGGCAGTGGCTGTGATGGAGCGTGTTGAGAAAAAGGAAGATTTGCAACATTTCCCGCTCGCCAAGGTTCTAGTGACTGCTGTTATGAACGATGGTACGGTAGAGGGTACGTGTAAGCCGGTACTGGTCGAAGACGAGAAGTATAGGGAGCTCCTTGGCATCAGTCAGGAGGAGATACCCTCGAAGATTAAGGTGGGGGAAGGCCTTGTTGGTTTCGTGTCTAACGTGACCACCTTCGGTGCATTTGTTCGTGTCGGTGGGGTTACTGGTCTGGTACCGAAACCCAAGCTGGCAGAAGGCTTCGTTGAGGAGGTTTCTGAGGCGGTTGAGGTTGGCCAGACGGTCACTACTGCAGTGGTGTCGTCGGTTGATGCTGAGAGGAATATGTTCAAGATGGATATGCAACCTCGCGCGGTGGCGGCGGTCAGCGAATTATCAGCTCGGGAGGAGCTCAGGGCTGCGGCGAAGTTGAGGCTTGAGAAGTGGTTGGGGAGTGGTAGGATACCCCAGAGGGGACAGGTGGTCGATGCCAAGGTTGGCAAGAAGAAACCCTATGGATGGATGCTTGAATTGACTAAGTTCGAGGCTGCTGCTGGACTGTTATTGAAAATGGGAGTTGGGGAGTTGGAGAGTGGCAGTGATGTGAAGGTTAAGGTTGTTGACGTTGACGTCGTGAGATCTGTTGTGTACGCGTGCAAGATTGGAGAAGAGGCTAAAGCAGGTGGCAAGAGGAAGCACAGCGAGGGAGGTTCTGAAGTTGAGGGGAAGGTTATGTCTACTAGGGCTGGGTATACTACAGTGCTTACAAGCTCGGGAGGGATCTTGTTGGTCACTAGTGGGCCGAGAAGCCTTAATGTGGAAGATGCGGTTAAGGTTAGGACGGCCTCTGAGGAAGGGGTTGGTGTACTTGTTGATGAAAAACCAAAGGCTAAGAAGGCTCGCAAGACGCCGGGTGAAGGAGGGAACTTCGCAGCAGACGTGTCTGTTGTTGAGGATGTTGAGGAATTGGTTGAAGGGAAGGAATTGTCTATGGAGGTGTCTAAGGGGAACGTGGGTTCGATCCCAGCATGTTGCATTCTGTGTTATGGTAGGTTGTTGGTCACACTTCGACTCGAGTGATTATGGTCGCTGCACCTAATATCCGGGCTACAATGCATGTGGCTCATTGTCGTCCTGGTGTGGAAGGAGGCAAGCTGGCCAAAGAGTAAGAAATGCACTCGCTGAGAATCGATCTGGCGACCTCTATAATGATAACAGTGGAGACTAACCATGTGTGCAGGTACCCTGTTGGTTCGGTTGTTTCTGTGCGAGTGGTGGGTTCATCCCATGTGACGGCCTTCTCGGCTAGTGGTGCCAATCAGTGGAACATCAGCGTTAGAGATCCGAAGAAGGATAAGGAAGATTGCAAGGTAGGTGGCTACTTAGGAAGCTCGGTCGTTTTTACTCCATCGTCTTTTCCAGTTGTACAAGTGGAATGCAGCTTCCCTTTGTGCGGCCCCTTTGGTTGGTTGCGCCGTCTCTTCGGTGAACGACGATGAGATGTTCATCATGGTCGACATTCCTGGGGTGGAGATGAGCTCACATACGCAGTTGGAGGCTGGCAAGTTGGGCAATATGACTAAGGCGCAGAAGGCTAAGTATGTTGGTGTTATATGTTGTGGCTTGAACGGATCGATTATTATTTTCTAGATTTTTCCGCCAGCATCTTGGTGACCATGACGATACCTCCAGCAACTACTGCAAGGTGAGCTCACTGAGGGATTGCGGAATGATAATGATTCTTGGCTTTAGGTGATGCTGGGCAAGTTGCGTGCGGTGGACCTGCCCAAAGCTGTGGAGGAGTATAAGCCTGGACATCTGCTAAGTGATGAGGAAGTGAGGGCCTTCGAAGTGGTCACTAAGAAGAAGATAGAGCTCACTGCTGTGGAGGAGGTAATGATGTGAGAGATGGATGGTATGTAATTTAGAGCATCATCATTCAGGTGAAGGAGGGTTCTGTGGTTACTACCGCTCGAGTGTCCAGCCATAAGTCGGCTGCGATCCAGCGTATAGTGGAGCTCCCTGGTGGTCATAAGGGGAGGCTTCATGCTACTATGGCATGTGATGATTGGAGGGCAAAGTAAGGCTTGGAGGGTTTGAATCAGGGGTCTTCGGGTATTCGTATTGTATGGGTACTATGCGGCTAGAATGACTTTGTTTTGCCTTTAGTCCTTTGTCTCCGCTGACACCGGGAATGCTAGCACCGGCGTTAGTGGTGGTCAGCCTCGGTAGTGGCCGTACGCCTACTGAGCTCTGCCTCAAATCGATCAGCCGGGCTCATGTGAAGGGTCTTCCTAAGGGAGCCAAAGACCTCAAGGAAGGAGGGAAGGTGACGCGAGTTCAATCCCTGGCAGAGGCATTCCATGACGTTGTGTCAGGTCTCTGGATATGTAGCTAGCGTGAGCTCTTCGGGAGTCTTCGTCGCACTTTCACCGTGGCTGACCGGCCGTGTTTTGCTCGGCAACGTCGCGGAGCATCCGGTCACTCCTGAGGAAGCTGGCAAATTGTAATATGTACACGCGAGCTTACTCTTACCATCTGTTCTTGAACTTGTCCAGATATCCTGTGGGTACCTCTGTGAAGGACATAGCAATTACTTCAGTGGACGTGACGAAGAACAGGGTACGACGGAGCGAAAGTCATTGACTGTTTTTACTTGTCTTTTTTTAAGGTTGGTCTCGCAATTGTGAACAAAAGGATAAGAGTCAGATAACAGAAATTGAGGAGGGTGCTATTATGTACGGTCAAGTGTCTAGAAAGGACAAGGAAGGAAAGGGCTTATTCGTAAGGAGTTTGACTCTGGTCAGTTTGGTTGTGCATGTCATGAGGCACAGTTCGAATCTCGGGGACGGAGGTCAACATGGTCATTGCTCTGCTAAGACCTATTTGACGGCAAGGGGGATGCTAAGGCGTTGA